ATCTGCGATCCCTAAAAGCTGGCAAAGACCTTAATGATTTAAAAGATCATAAAAGTAGGAAGTATCAACAGGAAGAAGTTATATACCATACGTTCTCAAGTATCAAACATGGGAAAAGGCATGTCACTCACCTTCAACTTTGTCTGCAAGAGTTCTTTACTAGTAATGATGTTGGTCACCTCTGTTTCGTTTAATCCGTGCACAATCGCGGGGCCTCCCAAAGTAGCATATAATGTAACAACTACAGGAGAGAAAAGGTAAGTCAGGTATATTCAAACAACCCACAGTGACAAGAGTCATTAAAAGTGTGCAAAAATGCCCAAAAGTGGGCATAACCCACTGCTGTGGGGTCACTCCAACTTTAAGCAGCCTTCCAGGACAGAGTGGAACTGCCCCGTCCAAGTCTGCAAAACTGTCCCCCTTTACCACAGCAAACTGCCACATCTCTCCTGGGAGTGGCCAGGGGGTCTGATGCTTTAGCGGAGCAAACTTACCCATAAACTACTAATGCATCTACAGACAATGAGAAAAAAACGCTAGGTTGTTGCTGGCATGCCTCTTTAAAAAAAGAAGAAAATTAGGTCATTTACAGCAAGATAAAAGTATCTGCTTTATCTGAAGGACCACAAAGTCTACACTCAGGCATCATTCTGTGGCATCCACAACCAGAATTCTCTCACAGAATGCATCATTACAATTACCAGTAAGTACACTGTAAAGCTCTCTACTGCTCTATCTTGAATATGAACATGTTTTAGGGATCAACTATTTGCACTGAAGCAGCATTTTTTGATATCATGGTATTAACTTGAAAAGGGGATTCCTGGAAGTCACAGCACAGAAATGGCCTGAGGGGCTAAACGTCTACGGAAAGATGCGTTCTCTCAACACATCTGTCTGTTCCATTAAGTCAACAACTGCTTTCTCCATAATGGACCAGAAAAGCTAAGTCAGAAACAGAGCCTTCTTCCTCCGATTAGATCAGAGGTAAAGGCAAAATGCCCATTAAAAAGAGACCTCTAGTTAAAGAGGAATAAAGTTAACATCTGTCCCATGATAACCCAAGAGTGCTCATGGCAAAATATAACGAAGTACATACGCTGAAAATTATACATAAAGCAGGCCTGGGCAGCGATCATCCACTCAGCTCGGGTCTCACAGAAGATCGCAATGTTGGTCTTGGGCTTCTGACCCAACACCTGTAAGCCACTTCCAAAATTAAAGGCTCGAACGAAGACATCTTCGTAGGAGAGCCAGTTATAGCGTCCAAGGATAACCTGACGAAACAAACACACAAATACTTCTTAATATAACCAAAATATGAATAGATAGAGAGCAAACAGGACATGTTCCAGATTTTATGACAAAGCAGTTTGCCTATAATTAGGCCTTTCTTTCAATAAAACAATGGAGGAGAGAAACCCAGCTATCTGGTGACAGTTTCTAAGATAACTGGAATCTTATGCTAAAGCTTTAACTTCAAGCATTTTTTGTTGAAGGGAAAGGTTCTTTCTGTGTAAAAGGCATTCTCACTGCAAAAATACGCAAATAGTTTCCACAACAGCTGTTATTTCACACACATTAAAACCTACTGACCATATTAATTTCTAAAAAATATTTAGGAAAGGGTTGGAACGCAGCTAAAAATGGAAAAAGGACAAATGCTGCCCTCTAGTGTCTTTTTCAATAATAGACTTGAATAAATTCTTCACCTGACAAGGCAAATGTTTAAAATACTCTGTAGTAAAGCTTGTGGCCCCCAATTCTCACCGCTCTGCACCCCCACGACACACTCAGCCTGGACTTTGAAAGGAGCCCTGAGAGGGTGACAACACAGGTGAGAATGTGTCCACAATGTGAAAAGGCTAGATTATAGTCTGTAAGATTTTACACTCTCCAGAAGATAACCGTGAAGCTACCTTCTAGACCCAATGGTCTAATTCCTAAACTTTCTCTTTATAAACCTCAAAGCCTGTGGGTGCTGTGAGAAGGCATTACATATATAACCCAAACCCTCAGAGAACTCTAGACGGTGCCACCATGTGGTAAAGAAAGCAAATCAATTAGAAATGTAATACAAGTGCATTAAATACAAGGCTCCTTCATATGTAAAAAACAAAGTATAAGGGAGCTCTGGTGGCCTAGTGGCAAGAAGCTGCACTGCAATCCCAGAGGTGAGAGGTTTGAATCCACCAGATGCTCTGCTGGAGAAGGAGGGACAATCCCCTCCGGTACCAGTCAGATCCGATTTGACGGCACACATTAAAAAAAAATAATTAATAAAAAAATAATAATAATAATAATAAACCCAAAGTATAAATCAAAACCTGTATTTCATTATTCCAGTTCAGACTGCTTGATGGGAGTTACCTTCCCATATGGATTACATATGGAAGAGCCTGTCGCCCCCGTAATTCTATCCAATTAGTACAGACTGTTGGCAACCCTCCTATGACAAGTACTGGGGGGAAGATATGCTTAGAGTCCCAACTCTTTTTCTATGAGAATCTCAACTATTTTCTGCCTGTACTACTAAAACTAGAAACATTCAGTCTTATTAAAACTAACAATTCTATTATGCCTCCTAATTGTTGCTATGTACCATCAAGTCGGAACTGACACATCACTGACCCTCCCCTAGGTTTTTAGACATAGGTAACTGCACAGGCGATCGCCCATCCTTCTCCCACGGAGCAGGTGGTGAATTCGAACCGCATGCCTTCAGGATTGCTGTGCAGCTTCCTGACAGTAGGCCACTAGAGTTCCCATGCCGTCTGTGTGTGTGTGTGTGTGTGTGTGTGTGTGTGTGTGCGCGCGCGCGCGTCTCCACTAAAAAGCCTGTCTGAAAACTTTCTCTTCAAACATGCTGTGATCCAGTTTCATATTCCATTAAGAAATTCAACAGCAACTTAAAAAAAATTATTCATTTCAATGAAAATTTATAGACACTTTGGATTTCCATTCATTCATTGTTGCACTTTTCTCCCTGCCCACCCCTCCCCCCAGTACACTCCCCTCTTGGAAAAGTAAAAGAAAAATTCTTTCATGGTTTTACAATTCCTCCCACAGGTCCACTCCACCATGCAGCCTTCCCTCTGGACTCCTGTCATGACAAAAATACCTAGTCACATATCCCTTTTAAACCGTTTTCTCCCTCATCTGTTTCAATGCAGTATACATTACTGAACCCATCTTTCTCAGTCTCCCCCCAACCCCAAGGTCAGTCCTGTTTTACAACAGTGGCACCATGCAGCATTTGTCCTTTTGTGACTGATACTTCACTCAGCATAATGTCCTCCAGGGTCACCCATTTTGAACAATATTGCATGAGTTCCTTGTTTTTCAATGCAGCACAGTACTCCATCGTGTGAATATACCACAGCTTCTCTACCCATTAATTTATTGATGGGCACTTAGGTTGTTTCCAACTCCTTGCTATTGTGAACAAAGCCACGACAAACATGGGCGTGCATATATCTGCTTGGATGTCAGTTATGGTCTCTTTGGGGTATATTCCCAGTAGTGGAATTGCTGGGTCAAATGGTATCTCTATTGCAGCTTTCTGAGAAAGCAACATACGGTCTTCCACAGTAGTTGCACCATTTTACACTCCCACCAACACTGAATAAGGGTTCCAGTTTTCTCCACAACCTCTCCAGTATTTGTTGCTTGCTGTTCTGTTAAATTTTGCTATTCTGACAGGTGTGAGATGATATCACATAGTTGTTTTGACTTGCATCTCTCTTAGAGCTAGGAATTTTGAACATTTCTTCATGTGCTTGTTGGCCATCTGAATGTTTTCTTCGGTGAAAGTGTCTGTTCATATCCTGTGCCCATTTTTCTATTGGATTATTTACCTTTATCTTGTTGTGGTGCTCAAGTATTTTATAAATTCTAGATATAAGTCCCTTATCTGACATGTCATTCCCAAATACTTTTTCCCAGCCTGTGGCTTCCCTTTTTACCCTGTTGGAGAAGTTTTTGGATGTGCATAGGGATTTGATTCTTAAAAGGTCCCATTCCTCTATTTTATCTTCTCCTCCTTGAACAGCAACTTTCTTACCCCCTTATCAGGTTTTAACCTTACTAAGTAAACTTCCCAATGACTGCTTCAAATACCTTCCCAAATTTCTATCTCTACTCCTGACCACCTTTATTTACTTGATTATGCAACCAAGAAAGCTAAGAGAAAGATAAGCTTAGCATGCTCCCAAACCAAACTCTCATTCACCTTTCCTCTTCTCCACCTCTAACACTTCATCTTTCTCTTCTCCATCCAGAAAGTAAAAGGAAGTATCACCCACAAAAAACACCTCCGCCCGGCCTCCACAGGGATCCTAGATTCTACCTGTCCCTGTCCCTATCTCAGCCCTCAACTCACTTCCTCTAAGCACAACTTCAAGTAGCCTGGGCCACGGAAGGCACTAGGATGCGGCTGAGGACACACTTTCTCATGAGGCATTCGCTCTGCTGGAGGCCTTTAGACGCATTCTTCGTATCTCATAGCACTGTTCAGCCTTGTCCTAAATCCAAGCTCTTTACCAAGAAGTTTACAAAGTTGGCCTCTCTTGTCTAACGGAAGTTCCACGGCTTCTCGCACATGATCTCCCCGGAGTCTGGAACCATGCCTGACACCAAGAGACTTGCCGTTTATTTGCTAAGTTTATGAGGTGATTGTTGTTGAGTGTGGTCCACAACTATGCACCATCGCCACAGAGCAAAACCTTGCCCAGTGCTGCCCCCCATTCACGATCTCTGCCATGCTCAAGCCCGCGGCTGAAGTCACTATATCCATCCCCTGAAGGGTCGTCCGCTCGTTCACCCGCGGCTGAAGTCACTATATCCATCCCCTAAAGGGTCGTCCGCTCGTTCACTGACCGTCTCCTTTTCCCAGCATGGTATCTTTTTCCAAGGACTGGCCCATCCTGACAAGAAGACACAGGACGTGAGACAGAGTTGAGCTAGGATTGCCTTACAGCGCACCCTGGCTGCAATTTCTCCAAGACAGATTGGTTTATTCTTCCGGCTGTCCGCAGGACACCCAATACTCTTCATCAACATTGTCATTCAAAGGCATCAATTTGTCTTCAGTCCAATTGTCACATCTATTTGAAACAACTGAAAATACCATGGTTTGAGAAAACCACTTTTCTCTAGCATTTAAGAGAGATCCTTGTAGGTCAGTGCAGGAAAGGACAGCCCTCAGTGTGACTGTGGCAACAAGGCCTTGTGTGTCGGAGACTGAGGGTGACTCAAGATAAGGCAAGATTCAGAGCCAACGCTCACAGGGTCGCTACGAGTCACTTAACAACAGCTACAAGGAGAAAGTATTGTGGGTCCAAGTAAAATGCTGCTAACTTTAGCCTGTTCCCAATCTTTTACAATGCTGTCTCTTGAATCAGTTGTGAGGACAATTCAAAGACATCTAATTCTTTGGTCTTACTTATTCTTTGTCCAACTTTCAGATGAATAAGAAGCAACTGAAAAGGCCCATGGCACGGTTCAGATACATCCTGGTGTTTAAACTGACATCCTTGCTCTTTTGAAATCTGAAGAGGTCCGTGACAGCAGATTATCCCAATGTGATGCCTTCTCAGTTCCTAACTGCTGCCATCATGGGTGCTGCTTGTAAAATAAAGTAAAATAAAAATAAAAAAATCAAGTAAAATAAAGTCGTTGACCATTTTAATCTTTTTCTCCGTCTATGATGGAGTTGATGGGGGACTATGTTGCCTATCAGTCTGGTGGTGAGGAATCTTGTTTTCTTGATGCTAAGATGTAATTCATGCTTTGTCTTTGTTCTTCTGCAGTAAGTAGTACCTCAAGTCTTCACCCCTTTCCACAAGCAAGGCTGTATCATCTGCATAAATCACAGTGGTTGAATGAGTCTTCCTTCAATCTAGATGCCATATTTTTGGTCATATAGCTCAGCTTCTCAAATTATTTGCCCAGCATGCAGACTGGAGAGGTCTGGAGGAAGAATACAACCCTGACGCATACCTCTCCTAGTTCTAAATCCTGCAGTATACCCTTGTTTTGTTCAGACAACTGCATCTTGGTCTAGGTACATGATTTTCATGAGAAGAAAGTGTTCTGGAATTCCCATTCTTCTCAAAGTTATCCATCATTTACTATCATCCACACAGTTGAATGTCTTTAGTTAAACACAAGTTGTTGTTGCTATGTGCCGTCGAGCCGGAAGAGACTCATCACTGTCCGTCACAAGGGAGAAGACTGCCCATCCTTCTCCCACGGAGAAACTGGTGGATTTGAACTG